AAAAAACCCCCCCAAAATGTTTAACTCCCCCACCCCCACGTTTACGCGCCTATAAACGTAAATACGCGTCCGGTGCCCCAGCACGCAAAAATTACAATTGCGCTACACATGTTACATATCGCTGCGAACGTCGCAGTGAGAGCAATCATTTTAGGGCCATCAATCACTGATAACACTAAACTGATGAGCGGTAACAGCTTTTAAAGCGTCGCCTATGGCCAATTTTGGGTATTATCGTTTTTTGAGGTTTCGCGCGCAATTTTAAGGCTTATCATGTTTGGTGTCTTTTTACCCGACGTGACCCCATCTTTTATATTTTACCAATAAATTGGGTAATAATAAATGTTTTATCATTTAATATAGGGGAAACTGTTTTTTAAAAAAAAAAAAATTGGTAATTTTTCCTTAATATAGTAAAAAAATAAAAACCCCAGTGGTGAATAAATACCACCAAAATAAAGCTCTATCTGTCCCCAAAAAAGGTATAAAATTCATTTCAGTACAGCGTTGCATGACGGAATAAATATCAGTCAAAGTACCGCAGCGCTGAATACTGAAAAATGGCCTGGATGGGAAGGGGGTTTAACACTGCGGATGTCAACTGGTTAAACTGTTTCATGGATTCTAACATCCGTTTCAGTCTGGGGCTCTTCTATTTTCTGTCCCACAGTTGCACCCAGTACCTTCTTTTGGAGACTGTGCGTCTTTGAGCTGCCTGACCAAAAGCTAATGAGCTACTGAGAAGTCAAGATCTATCATAAAGCATAGCAAGAGACTCCTCCCAGTGCCTCTAAAATATTTGCACCATTAAGATGAATGGACTGCCTTAAAGCAATGCATTTTGTACGCATTTAAAAAAAATTAAAGTCAGGACTAAAAAATATTTTTATAGCCAGGTAAATTTATATTCTAGCTAATCAGGAGGTAGTCTAATTGACCAATATAGTTTCTCTTTAACCAACGTCTAAGTCATATCTTTTTTTATCTCTTAGTACTTCTTTATCTTTTGGCATTTCCAGAGCTGCTCTTATAGGTTGAAATGATTAGTGTGTGCCAATTAAACTGTGAATACTAACCATAGCTGTTTATTTACCCGGAAGACCTCATTTACATGAGAAAAGGCCGGCACGTACAGCTCCGTGCTGCGTGCATGGCCGTATCGGGCAGCTCCCGGGAAGGACAGGAGGTGCTGCGTGTGATTAGTACGCAGCCCCTCTCCTTCTCTATGGGAGTACGTGCCATACGTCACCTTACGCTCACCCCAAGTGCAGGTCCTTACGGGTGCGGGTGTCCCGGCTCGGACGCAGACAGGATCCATTCGGTCAGCGTACAAGTACGGACACCCGCACAGACGTGCAGGGCGGGGAAGCGTAGGGCGGCACATGGCCGCGTACTCCCATAGAGAAGGACAGGGGCTGTGTACTAATCACACGCAGCACCTCCTGTCCTTTACGGGAGCTGCCCGATACAGCCGTGCATGCAGGATGGAGCTGTACGTGCCGGTCTTTTCTCGTGTGAATGAGGCCTAAAAACAAAACCTGTTGCTGGTCCTTTGGGACTGAATTAGGATACGCTGTGTTAAATAATGCAGTTTAATAAAGAGCCAAACAAGTAAGTGGTGCCAAGTAAAGTCTTCTGTTTTATTATGGTGTCCATACTTGTAGAAATGTTGCAAATATTCCAAAATGAGTGTTTAAAAGATGATGTATGCAATACTTTTTTTTAATTATTTTGTAACAGACAAAGCAGCTAAAACGCTACCCTGTGGTTTGATTACTGCAGCTTTGCTTGCAGTAAAAATATATTTAAAAACCTAGCAATGAAATTAGTTCATCAAAAAGACGTCACACTGTTGTCCAGTAAAAGTGAACAATGAAAAAATACTGTTTTCAGATAGTAAAATAATCTGAGACACATTTTAGCAAAGGTTATCAAATGCTATATATACAGATTAAATTAACAATGTGCACATTAGATATACTTTTTAATATAGATATGGATAAAAACAATTAATTCCCACAGCATAGCAAAAGATGATCTCTCCGTATACGCGTTACTTTTTGATTATTGTGCCAATATGGTTAACTACCAAGTAATAATCTTATTTCATCTCTTGTGGGATATAATAACTGTTATTTTCTTTCAGTACCTTTAATAATAACCATATAACACCATATTTCTAAAACATAAAAAATATCTTAAAAACATTGCTTAGATAAAAATCTCTTGTCGGTGTCAAAGAAGTTGTGCATCAAGGTCATATTTCTCACAAAACTTATCTGTAAATGGAATACAGGTTAGGTACTCACACCATTCACACTTGATATGGTAAAAATAGAATAAAAACACTAGGCCAGAGAACAGTCCAAAAAATATGAGTAGAAATATAATTATCTGGCATCTCTTCCGGTACAAGTCAAATTTACCAAAGCTAATATACGGAAGAAATGCAAACGATAAAAAGAAGCCACTAATAAAGCCAGAAATATGAGCAAAATTGTCAATCCAAGGGAGGAGTCCAAAAGTGAATAGGAAGATGACAACAGCAAGCAACTTGAAGAAAGCTCTCCATGGTCTTGCTAGAATCTGCCAACTTTGAAAGAGTTCAACAAAAAGGCAGGCCAAGATTCCAAACTGAGATCCAGCCGGTCCAACCTAGTAAATCATAAAAATACCAAACTATAACTTCTGTAGGAAATAAAATACAATATATAAAATAAAATTATAGGACATGGTCGCAGTGGAAAATACATACGAGGGTTAAATACATACGCTGTTTAACCTACAAATTTGTATTTCTGTCAATGCATTTCCCAGATTTAGGGCTTTGCTTGGATAGCTAACCTAAATCCAGGAAAAACAAAAAGTACCTCTGCAGTGGGGCTTTCTCCGCACTGCAAGGATTACATGCTTGTTTATGCCTAGAGTACCAGTAAAAATAACTTTAATTACCCAATCCCTTGCTCACCTGGACAGCACACAACTCTTTTCCCTGATGCTCAACCAACATGGTTACCTTTTCAAATTTCTTTCAACACATCCTCTGTTTCATCCATTGGAAACTAAAATCTAATTTTATCTAATTTTATTCTTGAAACCTATGACTTCCTTCACAGATATAGAGGAGGAGCAAGAAAAGACACCCAAGTACAGAAAGTGTGATATTCTTAGAAACCTTTTTTTTTGGCTTATTTCTCCTTTGGGTCGCATGAGTACATTTACATGTCCTCCTGTGACCCAAACTCAGCATCTAGCAGGCTCCTGCCTGCTATATGTTGACAGCGCAGAACCGCGCTGCAGCTGGGAAGGATCCCGACAATATTGTCAGGATTCTCCCCAATGCCTGATTGACAACTGGCTCTGCCTCTCTAGAGCCAGAGCCAGCTGTGCCCGTCCCCTTCCCTGTCCTTCAGGTGAGCACTAAAGAAATAGACAGAGAGGAGGGAAAATTCCTGTGGGGAGCGGTGAATGACAGCCATTGCTCTCTGCAGAGAGAAGACTGAGCTGAGATCGCTCAATTATCGATCTACAGTGCTGCCGTGTGACACCTGCAGCACTGTAGCACCGCATTACTCCCCCAATACTTCTCATTTAAAGGGAAAACACCTGAAAAAGAAAACTAATGCAGTGACTACATCCAAGGAATAGTAAGCTGCAACAGAATATTTTGTTTTGGGGTTTGGATATGCTTTAAAGGCCCATACTTAACAAACCAATTGTCTGATTGATTTGCTCTGTGCAACTGACATGGTAGGAGTGGGCCAGTATGACAAGGAAGGCACAAGTCATCCTACACAGCAAGTGTTTGAAATGTTTACAATTTTCACTAAGGTACCTTTGCAGAATGTATAAAAACTGCAATGTTCACTATTGTTTAATTCACTATTAATGTAACCAGGCATCAAAGCCAAAAACAGCCTGCACTCCCATAGGCAGAAAGTATTTTCACTTGTATATGTATAACACCCTTTATTATTTGATTAGCCTGTATACATCCAAACGTGATGTGACCAACAGTAATCTAGATTTATTACTGAAACATACTTTCTATGTTCGCAGCAAATCGTATAAGCATAATAAGATTACCTCGGCTCTGTAGGGCAGAAAGATGGCACTGGTAAGATTCCCGGTAATCCCACTTAAAATGTAGACAATGGATCTGTTCGGTCTATTCTTATAGATGCTGAACAGCAGTGAGTGAATAGCCGAATGCCGCTGGAATTTTGCTTTGTGTGTCTTTCATAATTTGTATTAAACATTCAGCATCCTGTCATAAATTAACACAAGTTAGCTGATGTGCAAAGAATCTAAAGTAACAGCAAGAGACAAACACTTCCACTTTACTGTTGGTAGCTAATTTTATTTATTATTATTTTTTAGTAATGAAAGAGGATTTTATAACGAAAAATGAGTCTGATTAGTGGAATATAATTCCATTTAGAGTTGAGCTTTAATCTTTAACAACTTAAACAACTATCAGTATTATTTTATGTATTTTAATTGAATAATTTTTTTTACAATTTTGGATACCTAGCTAATATTATTTTTTGTTATCTCGTTTTTCAGCTTTCTGAGCCCCTGGAACATGTTGGCTTTTTCCTTTGTGTTATGACAAACAAAACTCTTTCCTGGACTTATCCAACTGTTGTGCCACTCTCATCTGTCCAATACTCTACAATATCAAAAATACAGAACAGCTATAAGAAAATGTGAAAGCTGCAGTTGCTTAGTTGTCCCTTTGAAAATGCCTGGCTGTCATGCTGCCATACTTGTTTCTATACTTGGAATAATTGGAATAATTGACCATGGACATGTATACAAAAATGCTGATTTGCCTCCTACTTAAACGATCACATAGGCAATGGCAGCCTCATTATCATCATTATTATTATACAGGATTCATATAGCGCCAACAGTTTGTGCAGCCCTTTACAATATAAGGAATACATTACAATCACAAAACAATTCAAGACAAGATGGTAAGGAGGGCCCTGCCCCTAAGGGCTTACAATGTAAAAGGGAGGGACAAGTGATACATGAGGAGGTAGCTGTGTGGGGATACATTGTTTGAGAACGTTGCTCATTTGACAGGTTTGTTTTAGGGTGAACACTACAATATTAATACTTGGATGGCTCAGAGCTAATATAACGTACCCAGCATGAAGGCAGAGAGAAAGCCACAACCTATAAAACTGGTCTGGAACCTCTGGATTCAAGAATGGCAGGAGACCACACACATCATCCATGCAATGTACCTGAAATAATATACAGATGTATTTGCATAATCACATACACAATATATACCATAAATGTTTTTTAACAATGTATGCAATCAGACTATCTCAGCAGTTATATCCGTATGGGTATTCCAGTTAACATAGTCCAGTCATCATGATGTTACGAACTTCACTAAAGTTATATGAATGACTCCAGCTGCATATGGCATGACTTTTTAATAATGTAATTTAGTCCTTTTTACTTTCCCCTCTGCCCTATTGCTGTGGTGTTTTTGCTGGGCCTTGTTGCTATTTTTACAACAGCCTAGTCTGGGTGGTCATACAAATGTAAAGCTTCTTCAAGATGTTTGTATTCCCTTGTATTGCAGGAAGTGATCAGAATCAAACAGCAGAGATTAATCACTATGAATGGGTTTCCTGTAGACTTCCACATACAAGTGTCAGCTAGGATCTTCTCTCCCTGAATAATCTGCAGGGTTGGGCTGTCTGTCTAACAGCATGGTCTTGCAGACAGCAGGAAACAGCAGGCCACAGAGTCAGGAGAGGCTCCTACTGTAGCTGTAACCCCCCCCCACCCCACAAGGGGGCAGGGCAGG